AATTTTAGGCAATGACGCTAAATTTTCGATACGATTCGACTCTCGAAAAACGACTTGCACGACTCTCGCAATGAGGCTGAATAATTATCTAATAAAAATTTATGAGACTACCAAGCCATATATATGTTACCGGCCAAACTCGATCTTAGGTCAAACTAGTTTTGCCTAGACTAAACTAGATAAGGGGCAACAGTATTTTTGCGCAGAACAGCTTTCCGCGTAGACGCTGTTGAGAAGACATAAAATTTAGTACTTTTTCAACTAAAAGTCTCTTCCCGTTTTTCTTGCACTTCCAGAATACAATATTGACCTAAGGTAGTTCGATTTCGAGCTGTCACAACGTACAACACCTTTCAATCAGCCCTATTCTGCATTTCGACTCGAATCGAAATTTTCTCCGTTTGGCAACTTTGGTATTCTGCGTTCCGTTTCCTTTCGATCAATCTTCGAAATTTACGATTATACCTATTCTACATTTCGATCGTATTTCCGTTTTTCTAAGTTGCAAATTTGTTGACGGAGGACGTTTCGATTGTTATTTTCGTGGGTTTAAATAATAAAATTTTATAAGAAATTTAAGTAAAATATACTGTACATGATTGTAAAAGTCATCATAAATGAATTTTCTCGACTTCTGTGTTTTCGCGAGCGGTAATACGGGAAATACGAAAAATTGGCTCAAATAATGGCAACCAAAACGGATATTGCGCGACGTTTTCAAATTGGAAGTCCAGGCGTTTTTGTTTACATTATCTATAAATAAGACTGTGAAATGTACTGAATACAATTTATTCTTTTTATTTAAAATTAACAGATGTATGCACATGATACATACATACATAAAATGTGAAGTTACATAAAAAAGATGCTTTTATTATTGCACTCGTTTTTACTAACTTTTTAAAAAGAGGTGCGTATGTTGTCTCGAATTCGATTTGCTATGGAAAGATAAGCTTTGTTCTTCCCCTCCTCCTGACGGCTTTCAAAACGGGATTCATTTGCGTTCAAATCTTCCACTCTGTAGTAAATGCAAATGTTGTGGAGTGCTCAAACAACGTTTATAATTTCACTGACTTTGAGCGATGAGTAATACAGTTCAAGATGAATTTCTTATGACTCTTCACTCATCTGAAAAAGATCAAACATGTCTCTAAATCTCCGCCTTTCAACTTCCACATCAGCAATCTGGGACTCATTCTTCTCTTCAAGCAATAACGCCGCGGCTATGGATTTCATTCTTATAATTATGGCTGACTTCCAAAACGTCAATTGCTTTGCATTCGTACAAAGTATAATGTCCCATAACGCCGAACTACAAAATGTTGACAATGTATACTTTTCCAAAACGCATTCGAAAAGTTATCGAAACGCATCGCTAGAGCAATCAGCGCATCAGAATCAAATTTGATGCTTCTTTTGTTTTTGGTTACCATTGGTGTTTTAAAAATGGAAAATTCAGAACAATTGTTCATTGATAAATTGAATATTTAACATATGCAATGTATAAGGTTGCAATGTGTCGCAACTCTGCATTTACAAACAGTTTGAATACCGCAGTATAACAGTTTCCAAACATTGTATCGATACGTTTTGGAAGTCAGCCTATGTTTCCACTTACATTTTAGTTTTAAATTACAGTGATGCTGGATATATTTAGTTATTTTAAAATATTTACAAACTTTAACTTCATATGCTGCTATAGTTTGGTGGCAAATATTTCTTTGTTTTGTTTCGATTTCACACATTCCTAGGCAAACACCTGATTTCGAAAGATGCTTTCTCTCTTCCTCTTCTTCTTTCGTTTCGATCGTAACGCAGAATACCTAAGTTCGATTCCAGCGGAGCATATATATAGCATTTTCAGTTTAAATGAAACCATTTTCAAATTAAGTGAAACCTTTTTCAAATTAAATGAAACCTTTTTCAGGTTAAGCGAAACCATTTTCAAATTAAATGAAACCATTTTCATATAAAGGGAAACCTTTTTCAAATTAAATGAAAGCTTTTTCAGATTCAATCAAACTTTATTCCTTCGTAGAAAACTATAAAAAATACAACAAATTTTCAACCAAAATTCAAACTTTTTCTCAGAAGTGTTATAACTTTTTTGAGCCCCTTCAATTTTAGTCTAAGTATATGCAAGTTTGAAGTGGCTAAAAATTATCGTTGATTTTTTTTAGAATCGATATAAAAACAAATTGTGTTTATTCGTCTTCCATATAACGAAAAATGCGACTATATATTNGATTTTTTTTAGAATCGATATAAAAACAAATTGTGTTTATTCGTCTTCCATATAACGAAAAATGCGACTATATATTGGTGGCTGAGTGGAAGATCGACCTATCTCGGCAGCCAGTTCGAAAACGCCTGATATCAGAAAACTTGTTAACAACGCCCCATTTCAAAAATTGGCTTAAAACACCCTATTTTAGAATTTGATTGAAAACGCACTATCCCAGAACTCGGTTCAAAAACACCCTATCTCAGCTGACGATTAAAAAACGCCCTATCTCAGCACATTTTCAATATATTTTCGTTTGAGGTAGGACTTTTTTGGACCGAATAATAATAATAATATACTATATACATATCTAGTTTCAATATAAAAAAATTTATGTTCACATCATGAATTATGTATACATATCTATGTCAATATATGTGATGTGTATGTACGTACATCTACATATCGTCGTTTAAAGACAAAACCGTGTATCAACAAAATGCAAAACCGCGTATCAAGATAGTGGAAGCCCACGTATGCGAGGTTGCAAAAATTATTTTCTAGAGAGTAAAAACACGCATATTGCCTAATGGTTTTTTTTTTTAAAGCAATCGCATTTTTGGCTAGTATATTTCAGGAAAAATGGATAAGGATTGAGCCAAGAGCTTGTGTGAGCAAATCCAATTTTTAGCAGCAAATGCAGTTACGCGGTTTTGCATAATGACGATACGCGGTTTTGTACTTTAAACGACGATATGTAATTAACAGGAAGGCAGCAGTCTAATAGACGGGTGGAACAGGAACGCAGCACAGCAGAAGCGTACAAAAAAATCTGCAAATAAATGGTTTTTTAGGTTTTTAACTAACAAAAGCCTGGTTTCAATTTACTTCAACGTGTCTAAAGCACAACGCACACAATAATGCAAAGGCGCAACAGGAACGCAACACTATAAAAAACCGGCGGAGCAATATACAGGCGGAGCAGGAACGCAGCACAGCAGAATCGTCCACAAAATCTGCGAATAAATGGTTCATTAGATTTGAAATAACAAAGAGCTGGTTCCAACTTACTTCAAAATATCTGAAGGATTNGAGCAATATACAGGCGGAGCAGGAACGCAGCACAGCAGAATCGTCCACAACATCTGCGAATAAATGGTTCATTAGATTTGAAATAACAAAGAGCTGGTTCCAACTTACTTCAAAATATCTGAAGGATTATGCATACAATCAAATTCGGCCGCAGCTGCAGTTCACCATAGAATGCTGCAAATGGAATGGTTCATCAATAAAGTCAAAATAATGTTGTAACTTACGTGTATTCGCTCTTAATCACAATACCAGCACAGGCCGGCCAGGAAAGCACTAAGGAAATGACCTAATAAATGCAAAATTATAATTTATTTGTAAAATAATTGGGTTTTATTACAATACTTACCAAATTTCACGTAATTACAAAACAAATGTCAGCGAATAAGAACAAAACCAACAACGAAAATTGAATNACCAAATTTCACGTAATTAGAAAACAAATGTCAGCGAATAAGAACAAAACCAACAACGAAAATTGAAGCAATGTAACTTGTTTAGAATTTTTTTCTAATATTTTGGGAAATGTTCAGTGAAACTAGCAAAGAAAAAACACAGCTTCTCCTAAGGTAGTTCAAGATGGCGGATTAGAGCGAGAAGTTGCCAACGTATAACACCATTCATTATTGCATCATGATATATATGTATGTATGAACATATCGCACATTTGCTGCAAGAGTGTCAACAAAAAAAAATAAATAAAAAACTCGAGAAAAACAGCTTTAAAGTTTTGAATTTATATATACATATGTACTCCCATAGTAAAAATCAATGCATATTTTGTTCTAGTGAGATACTGGTAAACGATATAGCCGTGAAATTTTTACACAACATAGAAGAAAAGGTAACGATTATTTCTGCATACTTAACTCGATCTTTGTTTCTTCCCTGCCAGCCAAAAGTGGTGAAAAATATGGTGAAACCGCGGGTTTCGGTCACTTCAAAACTGGTGACAAAACTGGTGACATTTGTATGGGCGGTGTGCAGACTGCCACCACANTCAAAACTGGTGACAAAACTGGTGACATTTGTATGGGCGGTGTGCAGATTGCCACCACTTTCCCCCTGTACGTGTGAGCCTTGCATCACTGTCGCACTCATTCAGATACTTCGTAAGGAAAACATATAGCTGCACTCGTCTAGCATTGCCCCCTTCAGCCGGCTCAGCGTTGCATTTTCTTCACAGCGAATTCAAAATAACCTTAAAAACTTTAAATAAAAAATCCTAAAATGTTTTGATTTTTATTTTGCAAAATTAATTTTCAAAATTCATAATATACATACTTAATAATCAATACTATGAATAAGACTTGTAATTAACATTAATAAATATATTTTTACATACATACATATGCGCTGGCTTAATTTCTTATTATTAGTATTACTCATTTGCACATAGATGTTTAAAAATTTGGAAAATTTCTATAAGAAAGTTAAGCGATTTTAATATTATAATCAAAAGAAAGGTAATCGATTTATCTTTCTTTTGATATATATTAAAAGTTGCAAATCATTTAAACTGGTTCACAAAAATTCTGTTTCATTACAACTTTGCAAAATTTGATTGCGTTTTTTCGACTTATATATAGACGTTTTCAAAAGTTGCAAAATTTCTATAAAAAAGTTAAGCGATTTTAACAATATTATAATCAAAAGAAAGGTAATCGATTTACCTTTCTTTTGATATATATTAACAGTTGCAAATCATTTATGGTGGTTCAGAAAAATTAAGTTTTCTTACAACTTTGCAAAATTTGACAAGTTGGACCTACACTTTGAAGGTGCTCCTGGCGTTGAAGGTGCTGAGGGCGGAAGGTACTCATGGTGCTCCTGGCGATGAAGGAGCTGAGGGTAGAAGGTACTGGTGGTGCTCCTGGCGATGAAGAAGCTGAGGGCAGAAGGTTCTGATGGTACTCCTGGCGATGAAGATGCACGCGTTGAAGGTGCTGATGGTGAATCCCAAATCTGTAAACAAACAAAAATATCAATTAAAATTTATAAACATATAAAAAGTCTCAATACATACCTTAAGAATGTGACTAAGTAGCTGCTGTTTTGCAATCTAAAAGAAGAAATTACATTATAATTAAATAAAATTGTTAAATACGTATTCTTACCATAAAAATTTTCGTAAAGTGACATTTCTTCACAGTATGTATACTGTCATCAAAACTCCGATGTTTCTAACTTGCTCGCTCTAACGCATAGAATTCTTATTAGAGTACGAATTCTTATCGGGTAAGTAGCTCTAACAAAGGGACATTTTTTGACAGTTCGAACAAAAAATTTGTAAGTGTGTGGGTGAGATGACTAAAAAGTTGTGAATGTGTTTGTAAATCGTTTGAATTTTAGGGGAAAGTGGTGAGCCGTGGCTGGCAGGGTTTTTTATTATGACACTATTGAAGTAAATGTGCGATATGTACATAAATACGTATGTATACGAAATTTAATGGTTTTTTTAAGGCGTATATACGTACATATACAATATACAATTGTATAATCGCACGCAAATACAATATACATATATATTTGTACTAATATCTTCCTCCGGAATACTTTCCACACATTGGCTACTCCCTTCCACATATTCTGCGCCAAGTAAGCTCAAAACTTTCTGATCTAAATCAGAAAGTGGAGCTGTTAACATTGCAGCATTTCCTGTTGCCGCCATTTGCTTCCTGCGCTCTCTTGCCTTGATGGAAGTCCGGCTTTTCCTATCGCGCCAAACCTAGTACAAAAATTGCAATTATTGTGTTTTGCAGATATCATCTACTATAACTTACTACTTGCCACTGAGCTGCAGATTTTTCAGCACCATTTGTGCTATTTAGCAACATTGCTAGCTCTTCCCATTTCCGGCCATGAATCGCAGAGAACTTGCCTTCCGCGAGGCCCTTATTACCAAGGAAAAAGTCCAGCATCGTAGTAGCTCTATCGCTTCTGTTTTTTTTCGTATTATATTCACAAACAACAATCACAATAATAATACGCGCAACAAAAATCAAATTTTCTTTTAAATATTAAGTGTCAAACGTAAATATTTATCTTTGCAATTAACGAAAATCGTCGTAAACTTCTTTACCGACATGCCTAACGAATTATGTCGTTGTGTGTTTTTGAGAATGGCCTATTCGCTACTGCAAGCTACAAACGTCGCTCATTATCATAACGATTATCGGTCGGTAGGAAAAATGCGAATCGCACTACTGGAGTATTTAAGAACCTGTTGTAAATTTTGCAAATGTTCTTCATTACTCTTTCCTGTTATCAAAATATCATCCAAAAAGTTAATGACGTTCGGCGAGTATTGCAAAAATTTTTCGATTTCCCTTTGAAAAATCCTGGAAGCAGGCTTTATGCCAAAAGGCATACGATTCATTTTAAACACACCTCTATGTGTGCTCCAGGCACATAGCAATTTTTAAGGTTTGTCCAACTCAAACTGATAATACGCTTTCGCTAAATCTAGTACATACGAATTTAGTAAAAAAGAATTTTTAGTCTGCAATTACGCGAATAGATCCATTGGGTTTCAAAACTGGAACTAAGGCCGTTCCACAAGCGGATTTCTCCACTTTTGTGATAACCCCTGAGTTTTCCAGTTTTGTTAACTCATCCACGACTGCCGACCTAAACGCAATTGGAATAAGGCGTGGCTTCACACATATTGGAGTCTGATCGCCTTCTAAACGCAGATGTACTTCATCGTACTTGTATCTCCCGAATTCGTCACCTAAAACTGAATTATATTTAGGGAGTAAACCCTTAAGATGGTTGGGGTTTTGAACTTGAATACTTTGCACTTCCTTCCATACAATATCAAAAATTTTTATTGAGCTTGAGGCCGGTTTTAATGAAAANGAAAAAATGGTAGAAGTGATAGCTATTTCGGAAATCACCACATTTCCTCATCAGACTTCTTTCAGTAGGATTCGAACCGACGATCCCACTGACTCAGTCAGTGTCCTATGCACTGTGCTAAATTCGCCTTGTGAATTCTTGTTGCTTTTTTGCACTATTTCATTCGTTAAGCCAACTACAATCAAGCGCAGCTGTTGCAGTGCTATTTAAACTTGTTCGTGTGTTTAACTTTTAGGGGTGCTCGTCCTTAAGTTATTTGTTTTTGTTATTTTATGGCCTTATAACAATTATATTCAACAATTTTTATTGAGCTTGAGGCCGTTTTTAATGAAAAACTTATTGTGGAAAAGCAACAATAATTTGAAAAAATAGCAGGGTTCGTATTTGTACACACATGCTCTGCTCACACACACGCCAGAAACACATTCAACTTGCACTCACTGCTCATGCACATTTGTGTGCATAAGTGGAAAACAAACTCTGCTCACAGAAAAGTGTGTGCTGTTTGTTATTAAGCACATGCACATGTGTGTGAGCCGATTTTTGTACAAATTTCAGCCCATGCACATGCACATAATATATTTTTAAAAGAATTTGTTTATTTAACGTTATTGTTTGAAAGACAATTCAATAAAAAGTGAGATGTTGTTTGTTTTTATATGACAGAAAACATATTAAAAAATTATTTTAAGATTTGAGTTAGAAATCGAAGTGTATAAGTTTCTCTACGCAAAGCACACACATGTGCGTGTGCTTTATATTAATAAAAATAAAGTACACACATGTGCCCGTGCTTTTTACCAAACGGCACACATGTGATGTGAGCAAGTTTTTAATTTTGTATATGCACAGCACACGTGTGTGAGCGTAAAATGTTAGGATGTGCTGCGCATGTGTGTGCAAATACGAACCCTGAAAAATAGTAAAAGTATAGCTATTTCGGATATCACCACATTTCGAAATTAAACAAACTAAAACGAAGACATTTTCAACAATCCATCTTTGTTTCATAATGATCTCGATAACAGTAGGGAATAAATGTGTATTGTGTGTTTTTAAAATATGTTAAACAAAGAGCTCTGCATAAAAATATTGCGGAAGGCTTAACCGATGTTGGAGTGATTATGGTTATTTATTTTTTCTCAGAAAGGTGTTCTCTGCAAAAGGTGTTCATCCTCTTTTCTTCGCAAAACAGAAAGAGAATTCTACTTAGTGAGGGTTATAATCTCTAAGCGCGGCCGAAGGCCGCCTACGCAGAAAGGTGTTATCTGAAAAAAGGTGTTCAGCCCCTTTTCTTCGCAAAACAGAAAGGAGAACTCTGCTTAGTGAAAAGGTGTTCTCGGCAAAAGGTGTTCATCCCCTTTTCTTCGCAAAACAGAAAGAGAATTCAACTTTGTGAGAGTTATAATCCCTAAGTGCGGCCGAAGGCCGCCTACGCAAAAAATGTGTTCTCTGTAAGAGGTATTCAGCCCCTTTACTTCGCAAAACAGAAAGGAGAATTCTACTTAGTGAGGGTTATAATCCCTAAGTGCGGCCGAAGGCCGCCTACGCAGGAAGGTGTTCTCTGCAAAAGGTGTTCAGCCCCTTTTCTGCGCAAAACAGAAAAAGAGTTCTACTTTGAAAAAATCGTTCAATGTTATAATATATTAACTGAATTATGTTCAGATAATAGCGACATATTTGGCATCGATTCAGAGCCAATAACAGCAAATAATTTTTATAAGCAGCAAATACAACTTACAGATCCTACTCCTGTATACAGAAAAAATTATAGAATCCCGCACGCCCACAAATTAGAGGTAGAAAAACAAGTGAAAAAATTGGTAAAAGATAATATAGTCGAACCCGCTACAACAGCGTACAATAGTCCTTTACTTTTATTTCCAAAAAAGTCACTGCCAAATTCAAGTGAAAAACGATGAAGGTTAGTCGTTGACTACCGCCAAATTAACAAAAAACTAGTTGCAGATAAATTCCCTTTACCAAGAATTGATGATATTCTTGATGACCAACTTGGAAGAGCAAAATATTTTTCATGCTTAGATCTCACGTCAGGTTTCCATCAAATAGAATTGAGTATTCCACTTGCAAACAGCGTTATGTGATTTTATCATAGTAAGCCATAAATTAAAAAAACGTCTACAACAACAAGTAAAGAGAGTTCTACTTTGTGAGGGTTATAATCCCTAAGCGCGGCCGAAGGCCGCCTA